AACGACTGTAGCGTTTTTAAGCCAGAAATCTTCGCTGTCAGCAAGGCGATAGAGCTGCTGGCAAATAGAATCAATGAAATGGACGGACCGGTGACTATATATGTCGATAGTCAAGCGGCCCTGAAGGCTCTTAATAAATTTAGAATCAAAGCTATGACAGTTCTGGAATGCAGGAATGCTCTGGATAAGGTTAAATCGTTCTCTTAAACTCTGTTGGGTTCCTGGACACTGCAACATATATGGCAATGAATCGGCCGATGAATTGGCCAGACGCGGATATGAGTCTGTAGATCTAGAGATTGAGAGCTCAGTGAAGCCACCCTTATGTCACTTTTTCCAAGTACTGCATAAGCATTATCTTGGGAGATTTCAATGGAACTGGTTAACTGGTTGAAAGGGGATGTAATGTCTCAAAAAAGATTTGGCCGGTGAACTTCGAAAGGGGATCAAGGTCATTCATATCCATGAGGACGCTGGACTTGAAGCTTGTGGTGGGCCCATGTACAGGACACTGCAACATAAAGGCCATGACATCCGAATGGGGGTGATGACTGCAGGCTTTGTCAGGACGAGGAAGAAACTGAGACGGTGGAGCGCTTACTCTGCCACTGTCCAACTCTTATAGGAGTGAGACAGTAGCACGGGATAAGCAAATTCTGCCATACTTGTCCTCCCTCTCCGACATCGAGCCAACAGTCATTCTTCAGTTAGCAAGGAGACTAAAATGGCTAAGAACGACACGTTGATACACCGTGGATGCAAACCTACTAACATCTCTACCCTTTATTCAGATTCTCACTTCTTCACTATTCGCTATTCATTTCCTTTCTTCTCTCAATTCTGTTCTCCTATCTTCTTAATTAGGATGAACACAATGGACCAAAAGGTCTCCGAGTGGAGTGGTTGTTTATACAACCACGCATCCTTTAACCTAACCTAACCTAACCTATGGATATGTCCTGCATTCGTGTATGAAATGAAGAGCTCCATTTGTCAGTAAGAGCGCAGTTCATTGCATGGACTCACAACCGCATGCCTAAATATCCGTTTTCTGTTTATATTTAGGCCACTTTAAATAAATTTACTTCTCGTCACTACCCAGTTTTATCGTCTAATTTGATTTAAAAAATATCAGTCAGTAACGATTTGTTATTGTTATATTATAAAACATTCGGCATATTTAGCTTTTATTTTATTAGTACAACCATTCGCCAAACGAAATATTTGACATCCTGAAAATGTTTGATACAGAAATCTCTCTTTGGGTTGTCTTTGTTGCCAAAAATAACATCCCACTTTCAAGGTTTTCAATTGGATAAAAAAACAGCATCGTCCGCCTTAAGAAATATTAACCCACATTACAAAAATATACCTGTTTTGAAGTGTGTCACTGGCAACACAAACCTTTATATAAAATTAAAATGCAATTTATTTTTTATTATTACTGCCTGCATTATTGGTTTTTTTACAAATGCCATCCTTTAATTTTGAATTTGCCAATATTTACGATTTGCCAAATAAAAATGTATTCTCATATATAAATATGCATACGTTCATATGTACTATATATATTATAATCGTGACTTAAATTCCAACATTCGTTGTAACTACTACACTTGATAGTTTCCATATAGATATGTATGTTTATGGGCACGTACATTCAATAAATATATAAGTATCTACTGATGTATTCTCCAAACTACAACAATTACACATTTTCCATTACTTTTCCACTAGCAACCAGTGGTGGCAATTTAATGCGATACTTTAATGACTTTTATTGTAAATGCATGGAATATTCAGCCAAACAGTTAATACCACCGGTATAGACAATTAAATAACATGAAAGTATGTGACATTTAATGTTATGATATTGGTCGCTGTCCATATGAGGGTAATTTAAATGTCAGAGTTGAAGCATTGAATTTTGAGTTTTTCAAGTAAATCTTCTATTGAAAATATGTATGCATATGTTGAGCAACAATGATATGAAAAGCAAAGATTTAAACCTTACAATGGGTATGAACTGGTGATTTCACTGATTCAGTCCATGTAAATTAATGTCAAGATGTATCAAATAGTTGGCGTATTTAAAAATCGATTAAAAGTCTAGGCTTTCGGCACATTCCTACTTTCTGGAAAAAAATCTTATATTGTACATCTACACTATAGATGCACAAAATGTAAAATGTAACTTGTGTGTGCGAGAGAAACTAAAAAGCACGTACAAAGATATCTCCCGTCTTTCTTCTGGACATTGTGTAAAAAGTGACATACATAATGTTAGCAAAATTCTTAAAATTCAATATATCTATACAGGGTGAGAAGAAAAAACTGAACCGACTTCAGACTGCTGTCATTTCTAAAAAAAAAATTATTCCTGTGACAGCTCATCATATTGTTTACAAGCGTACAAAAGCATTTTGGTGAGAATTTTCCAAAAAAAAAAAAAAAAAATATTCGTGATGAAATTCAATCGTGATAGTGTGATTTCTTAATATTTGGCTGGAAAACCACAAGTGGCCATCGTTAGATCACTCCAGCATTTAAATGTGAATAAATCCTTTGTGTCTCGTACCATTCTGGAAGGTGTATTAAAGCCTTGGGCCGCAGACCTTGGATATTCCAACAGGACTCAGCACGCGCCACCCATGAATGGTTACAAAGTGAGGTTCCTCGCTTCATTTCCAGCACACAATGGCCACCAAATCTCCGGATACCAATCAGTTGGACTATTTTGTCTGGAGTATTTTAGAAAGCAAGGTTGGCATTAAAAAATACCAAAGTGTCGATCACCTCAAGCAAGCGCTTCGCCGGGAATGGATTAAAATACCACAGAACAACATTCGGGCAGCGTGTGACGGTTTCGTGCCAAAGGTGATCAATTGGAACAAACCTGCACTTATTCTAAAATTTAATGCTATTTTCGAAATTTTTTGCTTTCATTCAATATAATTTAAATAAAGGTAAAAAATGGCGTTTGATTTTGTTGCAGTTTTTTTTATCTCACCCTGTATATATCTCTTAACATTTTTCATGTTACCACCAAATGCACTGCGCCACGGTGTAGTGTTGGGCACACGCATATGAATGGTCTAGTATGGTAATGTATACTGGTTCTACCAGTGCAATTATTTTCATAAATTAATATTAATTTTGTTAATGTTCCGAAACAATTCAGGAAAATAGGATAGGTTTGTTCTAAAAGAATATTCTGTCGGTATGAAGTTGTCTTACTTTTACAGCTTTTGAAGGGAACCTTTTGTATCCTGTGTTCATTACTCTCATATATGAATTACAGATCTTTTTATAAATTGAATTGGAATTGGAGAAGATCCTGACTTTTATTTTATTTATGACATGTTTTTTTTCAATTTCTTAAAGAAATATATATTTATATATGATACGATATGATATGTTAACAATTAATGACAATTTTGGTCTTTTGATAAAAAAAAATATAAAACGATGCTTGCCAATTGAGAATATTATTTTGAGTATTTTTCTTAAAATAAATAAAGAGCTAAAGCTTCGTGAGGCAACTGAAATACATCCCTGAGGCTATGCCTGCTTCCTGTCAGAATTGTTTAAAAAAAAACAAGTTGTTCTCGTTAATTTGATTATGTATTATTTTCATTGCAAAAATGCAATTTACGTTTCTTCCAATCATTGTTTTTGAACATTTTTGTTTTTATTTAACCAAAAAGTAAATACAAACACAAAATTGGTAGAAGTCGTACACGCTCAGAAAATAGGTGTGTCTGGTTACCCTAAAGTTTGTAACAATTGTTACAAATTGTTACTGGAAGTCGTCTGTTAACCCAAAAGTTCTGCAAAAGAGAGCGGTTGGAGAGAGAAATTTTGACAGTTCTTTCAGTGAGAGTTTGCAAATTCTTGCTGGAAAAATTTCTTCTTGCAATCACTTGCAACTCTTCTTCTTCTCATTCATCGACATTCAATCAGATGTTTTCTATTGTTTGTTTATTTCTTTTTGTGCTTTCAATTTGAAAATATTTTTTTAGAGTTAGCAAGTCTAATAGTTTTTGGAGAACAACTTTACAAAATGTGAAAAACGTAAATGTTAATATGCAATAAGAAAATAAACGACTATTTCCAACATTTTTATTTAAAAAACTTATAAAACTTCCTTTGTTTTAATTCTCCTTATGGGGGACAAATTGGTTTGTTTTGACTAATCAGCTGATTAGTTGCAAGCTTCTGCAGGAATACCGTCTGTTTACTTTTCGCATTTTCCTTGCAAAAGAGAATAAAACTACCTTACTCTCTCAGAAAGAAGTTACTGGACAATTCCTGCTGGAAAAGTAACCAGACACACCTAATAATTGTAAACAGCTGACTGACAGACGGGCTCTACCATGCCTATACCATGGCAATAACTCTTTTTTAAATTCTTGACATATTCATTGATTAGTTATTTTTCGATGCTAGAATTACGTTACATTAATTTTCTCAACAAAGTAAAACTTTCTGAAACCCAAATGAAAAAAATCTAAGCAGACTGATTACCAAGAGGGCTAATACCGTAGCCAACACAATGTGGCCGGTTATTACATCTTTCCGACAAAAGTAAGGGATAACAAAAGTTGACTATAAAAGAGTGACATAAGAACGGACATATATGTGTTAGTTGGTAATTTGAAATTAGCAATAGCTAAGAACAAAATATTTTAAAATAACAATTTTGTGTTTCATATCTCCTGAAGACAACAACAATTCTTTAACCCATCTTTACTTTGACACTCTACAACCTTGGTTACGTCCTTCGAAGCAATATGGTAATTTACTTCTGATGTTGGAAAATTATTACCCCCAGTGACGCAGTTTCCACTTTTCGAAAATCACTTCACAATTGTAATCAAATTATAATTATTTTCAGAACGCCGCATTGTAATAGACAAAAAGGAATAAAAGTGAAGGACATTCTGCCAGAGAAACTACTAAATATCTTCTATGTAGGTATGGGTATGCAATGTACTTACCTAACATGGTATGGTTGACTTGTGCCAGTACTCCAATCGGCATGTTCAATATCCGAAGAGTTCTTTGTTGTGTTGTCGCAGGGCATTTTGTTTTAATGTGTTGACTGCGTGCGGTGCGCTCTTTACTTTGTAGTCCGTCGAGCGTTGGGCGGTCTGTTGTTGCTGCTGTTGCTGGTGTCAGTGGTGTGGTGGCCAACTTTTGCTATGGCTGCTACAGTGTTTTGTCGAATCAAATCGACTGAAATATTCCTTTGTCTTTTGTTTCTCTACAAACTTAAACACAAAATGTTAAATAATTAAAACACAAAACATTCATCGCCCAGAGATGCGGCGGCAATGATGTTGACGATTGGGTTTTTTTATGCATTCATTCATGGTTTTTTCAGAAACACATATATTGTTTAGCATTTGCAGATAATTTATTATTATCAATCGATTTCCCTCTTTTGTTTAATTTCACTTTACATTGACTGGCTTCATCCCGAATGTCAATGACTGCTTATGATCCACTGTAAAATATTGAAATTATTATTTTTGATAAAGAATAGGTACATACATATATCAAATCGTAAATTGTTTGCTCTTTTGTTTTTTTATTTAGATTGAACTTCACTTGGCTAAACATTGGTAGTTTCTTCTCCTCTTTTTCACCATTGTTTTTCTTTCATTTTTTTCACTGTTGTTGTCACAATTTTTCCAATTTTTTCGATATTTTTCCGCTTTTAGATTTCTTGTTCGCACACCAATCGATGATGATTTTTAGGACGACACAACAAATAAAAAATTAAGTCAAACGAATTTTGTCGTATTCTGTTATTGTTTTTCTCGACGTTTGACAGAGGATTTCCTCTGATTCTGATTTTCAGTTTCTATTTTCACATTTTTCTATTTTGTGGCCAATTTTGTTGTATTTTTGCTTCACCATTTGGTTGTATGCGTGACCGACCCAGTGATGTTACGAAGCGTACAAGCCAAAGAGACCCCAATATCAAACAAAGCAAGAAATAAACAACAAAAAAATGAAATAAACAACAACAATTAAAACAATGTTGCACTTTTGTAGCCGTTGGGGGAGAAGTGAAGAAACTCTATGGCAAAAATGTTATAAATAATTGACGCGAATTGTTGATTTAAACACAAACATTTATTAGCAATCATATTTTCTTATCAACATAAACATGAAGAAGGAAAGAAACAATAAAGACATCAACTTCGGCACTTCTCTATATTATCAAAATACATTTTCGCGAAAATATGTCAATTAAAATATTTTATACGAACATTTAGTTAAAATAAACATTAACTTTAAATAGATATTCACAGTACCCCACATTGTAAGAAATAAGTAGGCAATAGGGCGTATAAGGATCCCAAAAAGGCAAGAATACACAAATACACACAATCAAATTCTACTAAATCTTAAAATATTTCGCAATTTTGATTAAGAAAGAAAACTGTTAAAAATTTCTCAATGGAAACATATTTTTATTTTTACTTTATTTTTTGTTGTTGTTGTCTGTCAAAATATGGGCACTCACGGCACATACAACACGAAGAACATCTTCACTTCCATTCTTTGTTTATTTTGAAAGTAGGACCCTTTTTAGCACTTAAGCATATATTATTATTAAATATTTTCATCCTGCTATTACTACTGTTTTAATAAAAAAAAAACACCTAGTATATGTTTATTATATTTCATATTAATTTTCGATAATATATTCCTGCCTTATTATTTGTTTTTGCGACAAGCTCCAAAGCTCCAAACAACCGAGTTCACACTAGGGATACATAAGTCGAATTTCGAAAATAGACAATCCATGTTAGGGGACTATAATTTGATTCGTTCCTTATCGATTCTCAACAATATAGTTTCGATAATTAAGTAGTCGATTTTGAACTATTGCATGGTAGGAGAATATAGGTAGACGCATCGACACAGCTGAAAATGTTGAATGAATAATTATTTAAATTTGTGAAAATTGTTGAAAAACGCGAATGACGTCGTATAAGGGAAAATATAAAAATCTACTTATTTTTGAAAGAACTTTTAATTTTTTTTTGACATATCAACGCTCGCAATCATTGATGCATCTACCTGTATTCTTCTGCCATGAACTATTGTCACAGTAATATTTAGTTCACACGACACCACACAACGATTTTCAGAGCTATCAAACATTTTTGTTCGCTGTTCCATTCAAATCACTTCCAAACTACGGTGAAATGTGTGCCATCCCTAACTAATGAAAATGTTTTTTCAAAAACTTTTTTTTCATAAAAGAACAACGGAGATCTTAGGTGAGAGTACATTTAACGAGTTTTTGACTGACTTAAGTCATCGGCTGGCTTCTTCGTAGAGGAACAAAGCAAAGACATAGAAGTATATAGATGGGACAAGACAGAGTCAAAATATTGTCACCGGGTGTAAATACCTCTGTTGTTACGATATCATAACAACATAATCACCAATGTTAAGTTGTTTTAACAGCAAATGTAATATTCAAACGTCAGTGAAATGCAATTTTTAGTTCAAATTTTTGGTTTACAGAAAATTTTATTCTTAAAATTGCTCTGTAAATATAATTTTTATGCTAACATGTCACTGTTGTGAGCAGCGCCTCTATATATTTTTCACATTAACTATTTTTTCATTATGCATTTTGTCCAGTCCATGATCCAAGTATGAGGTCCCCCTTCCAGCTCAGCTGATTACCAGACGATCTGTCAATTAAATTTGAATTTGCTGCAACAAAAATAAACTTCAAAACGATGGTAGAAGAATTCAGGTAGTCGCATTGCATAGCTGCTGTGGCAAAGAACTGTCAAACCAATTTTTAAGTTAAAAATTTAAAATGAAAAATTATTCAAAAAATTATTGCAATGCTTGAGAACATTGATATGTCAAAATTGTTAAAATGTTTTGTGAAAAATAAGTAGATTTTTATACGTTTTTTAAATCCAACGCAAATTGGAGGTTGTTATGATATGCAATTTTTACAAATATCAAAAATTTTTCGTTTAACATTTTTAATTTCAAATTCGGTTTGACGATTCATTGTCCCAGCAGCTACGTCGATGCGTCTACCTGTATTTTTCTGCCCTGTGTTATACATACAAAAAATGACAACAAACATATTCGCCACAAAATTCTTCTGTCAAGGCGAAAATATTTATTTCTTATCATGGTACAATTACCAAGGTAATCTCATGCTATCATACGATTAATTTTTTTTGTCCCCTCATTGGCCAAACGAATATTTTTTTAATTGTCATGAATTTTAAAAGGTATTATGGTACAATGAAATAAAGTACCCTCATTTCATATAAGCATTCCCAGCTCTGCATTTTCTGTAATTTACATAGTCAAAGTTTAATGCATGACAAAACAGTTCCCATCTCTGATTTTGTGTGTATACAATAGATTTATGAATATAGATTTTGACAATGAGATGTTGTCTAATGTATAAATTTGAAAAAAAAATATTGTAAACATATGATTAGATGACTTTACCTTCTTAGTTCTACCATGAGAGGGTATAAAATTCAAAGAAGAATATAATTTGAAAAAGGGAACTAAAATATTGGTCTGATAAATAATGTAAAACCATGGTAAAATTAAGAAAGTAAAGTCATTTCAAATAAGCATTCCCATCTCAGCATTTTCTGTAACATAAGCTGGGAATACATAAAGCGCTTATCTGGCTGGCTTAAGTCATCGGCTGACCTTTATGTATTCCCACCTTTACTTTGTCAAATTTCACTACATAAAAACAGGTTCCCATCTCTGATTTGTGTATGTACAATGGATTTGTAAATATAAATTTTGGCAATAATGTGTTGTCAAATGAATAATTTTGAAAAAAATGTGATCATATGATGTGTAAAACTTAATTATGGTATGGTTGAATTAGGGTTCGCTTAGAACAAATAAATTTGTTAGAAGAATTTGTCAGCGTAAGTTTTTAGTACTAATCCATATATCGGAGGTTGTTATGATATTCAATTTTTTAGAAATATTAATTTTCTAATTTTTCATTCAAAATCGGTTTGACAGTTCATTGTCCCAACAGCTGTGTCGATGCGACTACCTATATTCGTCTACTATGCTAGAATTATAATCCAAACTGTACCCTGGTTCTATCATACCTGTTTATTACACCATGAGAACAGCTATTGCACCCGATAATATCGATGGAAAAAATATCATACCCTTTATTAAAACAAAGTATCGATATTTTGCCACCTCTAGTAAGCATAACTGCATAGAAATGAAAAATAAAATCGTGGATGTGTCGAACCGTTTGAACTGATTTATGATCCTTTCGAACATAAAGCACTCCAACTACAAGCTTATAGAAATTCAAGCTCATTAGAAAAGGCCTGAAATGGATGTTGATACGTTAGCGGATGTGGTGTTCCTAGTGGAGGGTTCCTCTGCCAACGGGGCCTATATAAATGAGCTAAAGACGAATTATATTGTACCAACTTTGGAACATTTTAGCCAGGGACCAATCGAGGAACGTGAATATTTAATTTCAGAGCGTTATTCGACGCAATATTGCGTGGTTGTTTATCGAACACCTGCGAATTTGTTGGAACCTGTTTGTACAACATTCGGACCATATTCGTCGCCTCAAAAGGTATTGGATCTGTTTGAAAGACTGCCGTTAGTAGGTGGTGGCATGGAATCGTATGCAAATTTAGCTGAAGGCTTTGCTACTGCCCATGTGTGCTTCGATGACATGAAGGAACATCGTTCTGGTCTTCGAAATGAGCCAACTCTCAATACACAAAAACATTGCATTTTGATGTGCAACAGTCCTCCATGTCTGATGCCGGTAATGGAATGCTGGAAATATTCTGGAAAGACAGGTGAGCAGTGTCATAAATGCTGAACGCCTCTGTTAGAATTTGCAAACTTAATTTCTGTTGTTGTTTCAGTTGAGCAACTAGCAGCTCTATTTCACGAACGAAAGATTAATCTTTCAATAATTGCCCCTCGCAAGATTCACGTTCTTTTCAAGATATTTATGAAAGCAGACGGTGACCAACCTCTGGCAGCTAAAAATTATGCCAAGAATATACGGCATCTGGTGCTACTAAAAGGTTATCACCTGAAAGAACGACCACAAAGCCCAAATAGTGCCGCTAACGCTATGGTGAATCAAACAAATCAAGTTGGTGGATCTAACCAAGTGGTACAGCAGCAACAACAACAGCAGCAAGCCCAGCAAGCCAATGTTCAACAACAGCAGAATCAACAAAATACAGGTATGCAGATGGACAATTCTATGGGCGCTGTCCAACAACAGCAGCAGCAACAGAATATGCAGCAACAAGTAGCTCAAATGGCTGCTATGAGTCCCAATCAACAGCCAGGAAATACTCTCAACCAGCAAATGTTGCAACAGCAGCAATTTAATCAAAATCCTAACTTCCAAAATCAGGGAAATCGTTGGGTCTTCAACCCCAATCAACAACAACAACAGCAGCCACAAACACGCCCTCAATTTATCGGAGGTCCAAATGTTTCTGGCGGTCCCATGGTCACTCCCATGGGATCTGTCAATCAGGGTATGCCTGGGCAAAATTCTGCTTTGATATCGCAACTGAGCGCACCGCCGAATCAAAACATGAATCCAATGTTGCAACAACAACAACAGCAGATACGCATGCAAATGCTCAATCAACAGCAAATGCAACAACAATTACAACAACAGCAACAACAGCAAAATGTTATGAATCCCAATATGGCTGTACCAGGTCCTGGGCCGAACACGCAACAGCAGGTATCCGTTGCCAACAATCAGCCCAACACATCAATGGCAAATCAACAAAATCAAAATAAACCCAAACCAACTGGAATGAGAGATACTATCTGGTCAGGAACCTTAGAATGGGTGGAGAAAAACAAAACAGATCAACAAAAAATTACCCGAACACTCCAGTGCACTGTTACAGCGAACATCAAAGACGGTGAACCGGAAATTAAGGCCGTCAACTGGCCCTCGAAGCTCCTAATGCAGTTGATGCCTAAACATTTGGTGGGTATTATAGGGGAACAATTTCTTAAAGAATCGAAAATGGTTGTATTTAAACCTCAACCTTGCGAAGCCTTGGATGCTTTGGCTAAAAGCATGACCACAATATTTGCAGGCTGTGTTCACTTTACAACACCAGCGAATACACCTCCCTGTGACATCAAAGTGTTGATTCTTCTCTATACGGCCGATAAAAATGCATTCCTGGGCTTTATACCCAACAATCAGTCACTGTTCGTGGAACGTTTGCGCAAAGCCATACAACAGAAACAGTCTATGGGAATGCAACAGACGGCAACTGGAGGACCTCCCAATAATATGCAACAGCAGCAGCAGCAACAACAACAGCAGCAAATGCAAAATCCGATGGCTGGACAAATTAATACAATGGGTCCAGGTCCAGGTGGCATTAATCCCCAGCAACAACAGCAAGATCCAAATCAACAGCAGCAGCAACAACAACACCAATTTAATCAATACAATCCACAGCAACAGATGAACATGCAAATGGCTGGAGGCCCGATGAATCAACAAATGATGGGTGGCCCACCCATGGGTGGTGGTCCCGACCAAATGGTTGGCAATAATCCAATGCAACAGCAAATGTCAATGATGCAACACCAACGAATGCCCATGATGGCGGGAGGAAATCCCAACCAACCACAACAGCAACAAATGGCACCCCAACAACAAATGCAACGTATGGTACGACCCATGATGAATAACAATAATCCGGGTTTAAGACACCTGCTTCAGCAACAATCAACCCCAGGCCAACAGTTTCGACCACAAATGGGCGGTGGTGGTCCAGGTGGGGTACCAGGTATGGGTGGTGGAATGCCGAATCCAAATCAAATGGCTGGCGGTCCCGGTGGTCCGAGCCGACCATTTGACGATAATTTTGATTTTATGTAGATTTACGTGTATCTAGTTTATTCATGATCGTTCAATATATATTAGGCTATACTTATCTAACATACGAAAGATTTATAAAGCAAGATATTTATAATCAGATTTTTATTAAGTTATTAAAATTATATAACATACTACATTTGCAGAATTATTTATAATATGTATGTTCTGCTGTTAGGTTCAGGGCATTGCAGCATTCTCAATTCGTATTGGGCGCACAGGCATAGACAAATGAAGATATAGACAACGAAAAGTTAGTTTTGTTTTTTTTATCCAGGTGGCTCTCATCATGTTTTGCATAGTCAACATGCTGATTTACGCGTTCAACCCACTCGACTTCGAAAACACATTTTATCGTTTTTCAAGAATTTCACTTAATTATTTCCGAATTTTTCGATATCATCACGTACTTTTCACATTTCTTTTATTATAGAACAATTTTCAACTGACAAATATCCTACAGTTTTTATTATTTTTAACGTTTTAGAATTGAGTGACTTCAATATTCTCACTCAAACCCCTAAAACGATATAGACGACATCTGCTGATTCGATTTTTTTCGAAGATAAACGGTGGGAGCATTTCGTTGTCTATATTTTCATTTGTCTATGTACCAGGTTGGGCTTAACTAAGGTCTATATACGGACGGTCAGTGAGATTTTTGTAAGCAATTTGACTATATACCTAGTACTTTTACTTCTTCTTCTCATTCATCGACATTCAATCAGATGTTTTCTAATGTTTGTTTATTTCTTTTTGTGCTTTCAATTTGAAAATATTTATTTTTTGGAATTAGCAAGACTAATTGCTTTTGGAGAACAACTTTACAAAATGTTAAAAACGTAAATTTTAATATGCAATAAGAAAATAAAATACTATTTCCAACATTTTTATACAAACGCCATTTGCAACACGCTTAAAGGATTCAAGGGAACACTTTTTTATTACTTATATTTTTATTTTATTGCTAATTTCCTTATTATTTATAAATCTTTTAAAATTGGCGGTCTTCCTTTCTTTTATTGGGGACAAATTGGTTTGTTTTGACAAATCAGCTGATTACCTGCACGCTTCTGCAGGAATACCGTCTGTTTACTTTTCGCATTTTCCTTGCAAAAGAGAATGAAACTACCTTACTCTCTCAGAAAGATGTTGCTGGACAATTCCTGCAGGAAAAGTAACCAGACACACCTAATGTCGCTAACACCGAAAAAGGATGGTACCGTTATATGTGGGGTTTACTAAGACATGGATCTGCATAAACAATTTTGTCATAGCTTAAAGTGTCCACTACGAACATCAAAATACGAAACCACATCGGTAATAACGTCGCTAAAATCATTAAAAACCGTTATATACTAAACAACGACTGCAGCATTTTCAGGCAGAAATCTTTACTGTCTGGAAGGCCATAGTTCTGCTGGCAAACAGAATCAATAAGTGGCTATAAATGTTGTATAGTATAGTTGAAGCGGTCCTGAAGGCTCTAAATTCTTTTACTATCAAATGAATGAATTGGCCAGACGCGGATCTAAGTCAGTAGATCTAGAGATTGAAAGCTCAGTGAAGTAACCTTTATGTCATACACATTGCGGCCTGCGCATTAGAGCTATTAACCAGTTTAGCCATGAAATTGAAAGATTGAACAGTTTGGATCATATTTTGAGAGAAAATCCAGGCATTTCATTCATGATTCGCGCTATATATAACTAATTTTAATGCAAGCCACATACGAAGCAACTGGTTGTACAACTTGGAGAGGTTGTATTCAAGATTGTATCGTTTGTGGCCCGGTTGTACGAAATCAAATTTTTTTGATATTTGGCATGTTGTACTAACCGATTGTAATGTTTGTGGGCATGTCGCTTACAATTTCATTTTGTGTTTATTTTCAAAGGGGCAACACTATTGTTTCGCACATCAAAACAAAACGAAATCCAATCAAATGTGTGATTTCAATGAAAATATAAGAAAAATAAAAATATATATAAAACGGAATTTCAAAAATTAATAATAAATAAAGGCTATTAAATAAATTATAGAGCACGAATTATTTCCGGTGGCATCTTAACTCAAATGAACTCTTCGAAAAGTGAAGTTGTACCATAGACAAATGAAGATATAGACAACGAAATGCTCTCACCGTTTATCTTCGAAAACAATCGAAGCAGCAGATGTCGTCTATATCGTTTCAGGGGTTTGAGTGGGAATATTGAAGTCACTCAATTCTAAAACGTTAAAATAACAAAAACTGTAGGATATTTGTCGGTTGGAAATTGTTCCATAATAAAATAAATGTGAAAATTACGTGATGACATCAAAAAATTCCGGAATAATCAAGTAAAATTCTTGAAAAACGTTAAAATGTGTTTTCGAAGTCGAGTGGGTTGAACGCGTAAATCAGCATGTTGACTATGCAAAACATGATGAGAGCCACCTGGATAAAAAGACAAAACTAACTTTTCGTTGTCTATATCTTCATTTGTCTATGGTTGTACAAAGAGGTTGTATACAAACTTGTATCGATTGTGGCCGAAGCATACAACTTGACAACCCTCCAGGTTGTACCAACGGTTGTATCGTGTGAGGCTTGTTGTTAATCAAGGCCTATATAAGGTCGAAACCATCTGACGACCAAGTTTTCTGTCACAATATATTTTGAATTCGCCCTATGAATACAAAAACAAAATTCTGACGTTCTTGTCAAAAAATTTCGAAAAAAATTGAAGTTATTAAAGGAATTTGCAAATCTATATAAATGATCATGGTACAATGAAATAAAGGTAACCTCATTTCAAATTAGCACTCCCAGCTCTGCATTTTCTGTAATTTACCTTGTCAAATTTCAATGCATGAAAACAGTTCCCATCTCTGATTTTGTGTGTATACAATGGACAAGGCCCATTTATTAGGTTGTGTAAAGGGCGAATTGGCTTAAAATCAGCTGTTTTACTTCTTCGAACTGTCAAAATTTCTTCTGAAGCGAATAATAATTCGCCTCAGTTCATCTTTTTGTGGCGAATTTGTAAACATCTAAGGGAAAAACAAAGCCAAGGCCCATTTATTAGGTCGTGTAAAGGGCGAATTGGCTTAAAATCAGCTGTTTTACTTTTTCGAACTGTCAAAATTTCTTCTGATGCGAATAATAATTCGCCTCAGTTTATCTTTTTTTGTGGCGAATTTGAAAACATCTAAGGGAAAAACCATGGTCCAACTATAAGGTCGACAAGAAAGACCAGCTGATACCTACATTTTCTGTCAACGTAATTTGAATTCGCCTGACAACTACAAAAGATGTCAATAATTACTTGTCCATTATTTATTGTCAGTTAATTTTGTCAAATTTTAAAAACAAATAGAAAGATATTTTTTTCTCTTTGTTAACTTGTGTGCGTAAATTGACAATGCGAATTTGCAAGATATGCAAAAGAAAAGAGGAGCCTGGAAAGGCACTGAACTTTTTCTCTGTTCCCAGAGATGAAAACACCAGAGAAAAAGTGGAGTCAAATATGCCAAATCAAATTTGCAGCTACATCAAAAGTTTGCACAGACCATTTCAATAAGGCATTTGTGGTGCAGTCAGGAAGTAAATTGAGACTTCCGCCAATAGCTATGCCAGAACTCGGACCATCGCAATTGAGCCCGTAAGCAATGGTAGAGAATAAAATTCAAATATATTCCTATTTTTACATTATAGATATATGAAACCTGACGATACACAAGTAAATGTCCACGATAAGATTATTATTGACAAAACAGAAACGGAATCATGCACTCTTATTGGAAACCTAGCTCAAAAAACCAAAACATGAAAAGATCAGGAGGATTCTAATAGCTACGGGGTTGATACACCAATTTATACAAAATTTATCTCATAAAAGAAAAACTTTGACATGAGGTCCAACCATGTCCCTGCATTTCATGATGTAGCGATATCCGTCTCACTACCAAAATAGATGGGAGATATCGGCTCACTCGTTTAAAAAGTTACCCACAAATTCTAAATTTTGAAAAAAAGTGAATTATTTACTTGATAGATAAGGGTCATCTTCCAAAACTCTACTAACTAATGCAGGTGTTCGTGTATACAAAATGCACATTGATGCAATGTAAAATAATATTTCACTGAAGCCGTGGTTTTTAATGATGTGTTGCTGCTATGCTCATCTGTATTTGCACATAAGTCTACCTTAGTTGACTAGGCATGAACAACAAAACTTCCTATATGCTCCGTAAGAACCATTGCTTTTTATCATTAGTTTAAAAGCCAGCCCTAGGCCATACATTTACATAGCCACCACCTTTTAACAATTCTATGAAGAAAGTGTAGTCGTATCTCGGAAAGTATGAACATCCACATAAAAAAAAAAAAAAAAAAAAACTACATTCGTCGTCTTTCAAAACAATGAAATAAGAGCAAAGATTCTCGTGAGACATTGAGTGTCAATACCGTTTGATGTGGGACTTCAGCAAAAACAAATTGGTGAAGCTGCATTCAGACCTTCAGAGGCTACTTCTGATACAGCAAACATGCCAATAAAATTTAAAGAAAATATCCATAAATGCGAGTTGCTTTTATTGTATTTTACATACACAAACATTTCCAAAATAAACAAAGCAGAAATTCGCTACAATGTTATTCTGTCAAGGCGAAATACTTTTTTTCGCCCTAATAAAGAAATTTTGACAATACATGTAGGTGAAGGGTTGTATTTTTTGCAAATTCGATTTCTGGTCGACCCTATAATTGGGCCATAGGAAAAACAAAGCAATGTATACGAAACAAAGCACACGAGCATAGTAATAAAATTAAACAGAAAGCAAGACGTTTCAATGAAAATACTTTTGACAATTTGCGCATCATTTTGCCCTTGCGTTTTCGTACTTTGAAATGCAGTCAAAAATTAGGTGTGTCTGTTTACCCTAAAATTGGCAACAACTATTAAGGTGGGAGTACATAAAGCGCATATTTGGCTGGCTTAAGTCATCGGCTGGATTCTTTGTCGATGAACAAGGGAGTCTAGGGCAAAAATCGAACTAAGTCAACCTAAAACTCCTTTGTTCATCTACGAAGAAGCCAGCCAATGACTTTAGCCAGCCAAATATGCTCTTCATGTATTTCCAGCCTTACTTTTAACACAAAGGTTCTGCAAAAGAGAGTGACTCGAGAGAGGAATTTTGACAGTGCTTTTCTTCTTGCGATCATTTTCTATTTTTCTGTCCGGTGATTTATATTAGGGTAAGCACATTTTAAACACATATATTTTGATAATGACAAGCCTAAGAATAGATAAAAGGCTTTTTTGACTGGCTTTTGACAAAGGTGTTTTAGGTTGATTTAGTTCGATATTGGCCAGATGGTCCTATGTTCTTTTCCGGAAAAGCCAACCGATGACTTAAGCCAGTAAAAAAAACTTTTATGTATTCTCACCTTAGTTGTTTAGTTTTATAGCTCATTTAAAATGTTTGTGTGTACTTCATTTCTTTTTTCCTAGCAAAAGATAATTAAACTCTGAGTAAGAAACTGCTGGACAATTACTGCAGGAAAATAACCAGACAGGCCTATTGTGTGATGACAACTTGTCATTTTTTTCGGCGAATTTCAAATATAAACAAATGTGTTTTGACAGAACGGGTGAAATCACCAGGGCTAATCGGACGACCTAATAATGGGGCCATGACAATGGATTTATGAATATAGATTTTGACAATGAGATGTTGTCAAATGTATAAATTTGAAAAAATTATAAACATATGATTGCATGACTTTACCTTCTTAGTTCTCCCATGATAAATTATAAATAAACAGGAAATTTGGTGAATTTGAAAATGAGAATTTGCTAAATCTATAGAAAAAAAGGAGGTCCAGGAACAAGGCAGATTTAATTTGGATAAGACCAACTGAGTCATAGCTCTCGTGAAAAGCTGGATCAGCAAAGGATCATGCCGACTCATTTACCTTTATGTTTGAATCGCCCAATCATGAAAAAGTCTCCGACTATGAAATGAAACTGATGAATCTCGACCAAGAACATTTGGGCATTCCCGAAACAGATTACTCCTATGTTGTATGTATGCATTCAATGGAATTTGCACGCATCTGAGATTTGGCGCAATTCAGTGAATCTATGGTTATTTGTTGTACCAAGGAAGGTGTAAAATATTTGGCATTTGGTGACGTTGGTTCGGTAATTGTTAAATTGGCACAAAGTTCAAGTGTGGACAAAGATGATGAGGCAGTCATTATTGAAATGCAAGAACCTATCCCCTAACATTCGCCTGTCGTTCACCAAGGCCAGTTCTTTGTGTGGACAAGTACAGTTGTCCATGCCGGCCGATGTACCATGTACTGAGTATCGTATACAAGATTTGGATTTATAAGTTGGCGCCTAAAATTGTTATTAAAATATATTGACGAATATCTATTAATTTTTAAAAAAGTTTTTATTGTAAAACGCTTTTAGTGAAGAAGACATAAACTTTTTTTTTTTTTTTGCATTCATTTAGGGCGAATTCGGCATTGCAACAACTTGTTTTGACATTTAAAGCTGCCGTCAGCTGGGTTGATGCGACTACCTAGTAGATCTACCTTGATAGACTGACAGGAAGCGAGCATAGCCTCAGGGCTGTATTTTTGTACTTTTACGAAGCTGTTCTGCCTCCTTATTGTACCATGGTCAAATGTATAAATTTGAAAAAATTTTAAACATATGATTACATGAATTTGCCCACTAAGTTCTACCATGTGTATACCTATTGAAAAACTATAAAATGCAACAGTTTGTTTAAAATGCAACAGTTGGTTTTGTTTATTTTTTTTTTATTTTTAACAAAATTCTTATATTGGGGAAGCCCGCGGAAAAAGAATAGAATTTTGGGGTTATTCTATAAGATTGAATGTAAAATAGTAGGACAATACAGTTTCATCCCAATATTGTACAATGTGTTGCCCATTAACATCGAAAGTATGCATTTATTTTGCAACCGAATTTGAAATAATTTCAAATTATTGTATTTTTTACTCAAAACAATACAAAAACACACACACAAAATATGTATATGCTTTGACAGAATAAGGGCATTAAAAGAAAAAAGTGTTTTTATATGCCTTTGTTATACCTTGTGTAATAGTGCCATGCCTGTAATAATATAATATAAGCTTGTGCTCATACAGTTAAGACACTACCTCCAAAGGATATATGGAGTATTTCTAGCACTTAATTAAGAAACTAAACTCAATACAACAAATATGGCACATTTAATTCATTTTAGATAGCTCAAACAATTAAGTCATAGGGATAAAAATGTGACAAACGTGGTTAGTATTTCATTAGTTAGTATTTCGTTGGGAATTCTTTTCGTAATATGACCTCTGCACACCTCTTACCCATAGAACTCACTAAAGCGGAGTATTGGGACCCCTGCCCTGGCGTACCATTCGTCCTTTATGATTTCCCACAAGGATGCTTTGTTTGCAAGTTTCCTAGCTGCAACCGATCGTTTTATGATGCCCCAAAGATTTTCAATGGCGTTTAGATCAGGGCTCTGGGCGGGCCACTCCAGGGTTTCATTATTGGCAGCAATCTAGTCCTTAACGACTCGTGAACAGTGTTTCGGGTCGTTATCCTTTTGAAATATGTAGGCTAAGGGTAAATCATCGGACTAATCGTCATTTAAATGTTTACATTTCGGTATATAATTCCAGCCATTTTTCCTTCAATTTGGACAATTGGGCCAACGCCGGATGCCGCGAAGCATCCCCATACCATTACAGAGGAGCCCTCATGCTTAACACTTTTCTTTGCGACCTCCGAAATATTTTGGTGTTTTTGGAAGCACTCCCATATTATTTTCCACCACGGAGTAGAGCTTTTTATCTTACCCATTGTTTTAAGAAGGAAATAGAAACTAATGCAAATTTTTGTGCATCAGCCGTGGAGCACCAATTTGTAAGTAATAGGTGTGTCTGGTTACCCTAAAACTTGTAACAATTGTTACAAATTGTTACTGGAAGTCGTCTGTTAACGCGAAAGTTCTGCAAAAGAGAGCGGTTGGAGAGAGAAATTTTGACAGTTCTTTCAGTGAGAGTTTGCAAATTCTTGCTGGAAAAATTTCTTCTTGCAATCTCTTGCAACTCTTCTTCTTCTCATTCATCGACATTCAATTGTTTGTTTATTTATTTCTTTTTGTGATTTTAATTTGAAAATATTGTTTTGGAATTAGCAAGATTAATTGTTTTTGGAGAACAACTTTACAAAATGTGAAAAAAGTAAATTTTAATATGTAATAAGAAAATAAAAGACTATTTCCAAAATTTTTAGACAAATGCCATTAGCAACAGGTTTAAAAGATTACGCGGAACACATCATATCTATCTTCCTTTTATTGCTCATATTTTTATTTTATTGTTAATTTCCTTTTTATTTATAAAACTTGTAAAATTGGCGATCTTCTTTTCTTTTAATTCTTTTAATGGGGGACATATTGGTTTGTTTTGACAAATCAGCTGATTAGTTGCAAGCTTCTGCAGGAATACCGTCTGTTTACTTTTCGCATTTTCCTTGCAAAAGAGAATGAAACTACCTTACTTTCTCAGAAAGATGTTGCTGGACAATTCCTGCAGGAAAAGTAACCAGACACACCTAATACCGTTTAAATATCGGCGTAAAAATGACACTTACACTTTTTAAAACAATAATGACTTAATTATATTAGCTCGTTATCATGACGATAGGCAAAAAGAAATGCAACTGTACATCATAACACGCATTATTTTTGTAAATTATGCTGACGAATATTAGAACACATGAAAACAAAACTGACAAGCAAAGGAGAATATGCAAATATAAACCGTTGTAATTTTATTGTCTCTTTTGATAAGGCAATGTATAGTAACTTAATTGTGTGAGCACAAGTCTATATTGCATAAAATATTATATAATCTATTATAAATATATAATAAGATAATAATAATTATAGCATGCTCTACAACAAATTGAGACTTGCCGCAAGTAACTTGCATAATGTGAATTTGGGGGAACACAAACGCCACATTCCGCTCCGAAGATATGCCGCCAACGACAAAAAATGACGGCGCGCTGCCGCCGATGATGAGCCGCCGGGTCCGCAAAGTCGTTCCGCTTCGTTGTCTGCTTTTGAGGAACTTCAACAATCATTTAAGTTCGAAAAGAAAACAAAATCATCTTCCAACATTTCAGAAAGAAGCTGAAGAGGAGAACATGGCCCAGCATTGGTCGTATGATATTCTGAAGCATATAGCTATCAATGACAAGGATGCTCAAGACAATTTGGAAGACTTGAAATCAATCCTGCTAGATGATATTGGATCGACTAGGAATATGTGTCGTATTAAGGATATGACAGATCTCATAGATTGTTTGGAAAGACATGATGCCTTGTCCGAAAACAATATTGAACCACTGCGAGAAATTGCGGATCAATTCGGAAACAAAGAACTTGAGGAAGCAATTTGCAATTATTTTGCACCAAAAGACTCGTCGGGCTTCACAGAACCTTACAACCAATACAAGGAACTTCGTTTGGCCGACGAAGTAAGAAGTCACTTGAGTATCAATGGCGATTCACAACACGCAGAGGTTCGTGGAAGAATGTCCAACGATAATGTACGTTTCCAAAGTGGACAAAGCCAAACTCTCCCTCCCCCTCTACCAACTCCAACTATTTATCCTCAAGAATTGACGGATAGGAAGCGTGCTGCAATCCATAAACTAATAGCTAATGAAATCGGGAAATTCTGGAGAGCTTTGGGAAGGGAATTACAACTTTCACAAGGTCAATTGGATGCCTTAGAAATGGAGTACCCTCGGGATTTAGTTTCTCGGGTATACAAGTTGTTGCAGGTGTTTGAGGAGGATGAGTGCCACGATTCCAAGCAAAATGTTCTTGTATTGTGTAGAGCTTTGGAAGACTGCCGACGTAAAGACTTGCGTAGAAAAGTCGAAGATATAATGTCACACTAAGAAAATCAATACCCAAAAGGTTACAATTGTTTTCCCTTTCTAAAAGTTCTAATGTTAAATACATTTGTAAATATCAATCAAACGTACCTATATATATTTTTCTTTTCTATTAAATATATAAATTTATAATAAGAAAACTGTATTTTTTTGTATCAGATTATCCCAAATTCATGACCATATGGATAACCTTTATATATTATATACAGGGTGAGATGAAAAACTGCAACCAACTTTACACTGCAGTCATTTCTAAGCCACTCGTTCAACAGCTGTTAAAATTATTCCAGTGACAGCTCATTATATTGTTTACAAGCGTACAAAAGCATTTTGGTGAGAATTTTGCAGAAAAAAAATTATTCATGATGGAATTTAAGCGTGATTTTGGCTTGAAAACCACAAGTGGCTATCGTTAGAGCACTCCAGCATCTAAATATGAATAAATCTTTTGTGTCTCGTACCATCGCTAGTTACGGTGATATTGGTAGCGTATCCCGACGTCAAGGAAGTGGAAGGAAGAAAACAGCAACATCAGCAGAAATTGCTCGAAAAATTCGGCAGTGGCAGAAAAATGGTTCGTGTGCTGATCATATCCCCATATTCCATTCGGCAAATATTGCAAAATGAGTTTGAAGTTCCAAAAAGTACAAGAACTTACGGAAAGAAAATAGACTCAAAATAGCTAAAGAGTTGGGTCTCTTGCTCGAAAGTGGTGAACTGTCGATTTTGGTTTTCTCCGATGGAAAATGAATATTTTCCAGCAGTTTGTAAACAAACAAAATGATCGTGTTTACTTGCCAAAGAGGTTAGCTTAAAATGTGCACCTTCGGTTGGCCACCAGAACTCAAGCGCCAGCCATGGTGATGGTGTGGGCCGCCATAACAGCCGATGGTCGCTCTCCGCTCGTATAAATCGACCGTGGCATCAGAATAAATGTCGCATATTATCGCGGAAGTATTCTGGAGGGTGTATTTAAGCCTTGGGCACGCAAAAATTTTGGCCGCAGACCTTGGACATCCCAACAGGACTCAGCACCATCGCACTCAACATGCGCCATCCAAGAATGTTTACAAAATCCGTCCAATTCGTTGGACTATTTTGTCTGGAGTATTTTGGAAAGCATGGTTGGCACTAAAAATACCAAAGTGTCGATCAGCTTAAGCAAGCGCTTCGCCGGGAATCGGCCAAAATACCGCAGAGCAACATTCGGGCAGCGTGTGACGTTCTTTGACATTAGTGCCAAAGGTGAACAATTCGAAAAATCTAAACTAATTCTGAAATTTGATGCTATTTCCGACATTTGTTGCTTTCATTCAATAAAATTAAAAAAAGTAAAAAACGATGGCGTTTGGCTTTGTTGCAGTTTTTGCATATTTTCTGCCAAGTTTCATTTTACTTTTCTGATGTAGGTAAACATATGTGTAAAGTTTAACCCCATGAAGTGCTTTCTGCGGATAAAGGGGGGAAGAAAAAGTTACCTTTACATCATTCATATTCCCTGCTTTTCCATATAAAATGCACTTTCCTTTCCCGTAAACGTTGCGGGTCTGTTTTCGCACTAAGCAACAAATGGTCAATTTTGTATTGTAACACTATTAAAAATTAAGAGTTTTTTTTACGAATTTGTTATCGATGTCTGTTGGTTAGTTTAAAGAAGATGGATTATAACCGGACTGCCAAGCTACATACCTAGAATAGGGAGAGTAAATTGTCTAGTTTTGTGAGAAGTAATAAAAATTTATAAAGCAAAAAAATATTCATCATTTGTTTAGCAGTGAGACAGCCGAAAATTTACCCAATTAGATACTTCATGATCTTATTGGTTAGCAGATCAATCGACTGATATTCGATAAAAGGTGTTGTTGTTCATAAAAAAATTAAGAAAATAACACTATCAAAAAGCTATTTTTTAATTTCAATTTTAGAATAGTAATTTAATTGTTTAAATAATTCCAGACATTAGTTTACATGAATTATTTGATTCTATATATTATATTAATTAATTATGAATACAAAACACAAAACTTAAAATTTCAAATTCATAAAATAATAAACGACACGTGCAGATGTTATTTTCTGATTGCATTTGTTTTTCAGAGAAAGAATTAATAACTGTTGAATTTCTTTTGAATATTAAGACCAGCTTTTTTGGGAAAGAAGCATGTGTGGTGAAAGTATTCATCAAACTAAAATTGCCTTGCTAGAACTGCACTCGATTTACTTGTCGCCGATAAATCTGCCATATTATGTTGTTGACAATGTCGTTTTTGTGTGTAACAATTTATCGGCCGTTTTCTTCATCAGAAGATTGGGATAGTCAACTTAAAAAAAAAAAACAATAAAAAATACACACCCACACGCTTTTACATCAATGTAATCAATGCAGGAAAACCGCTTATAACAGATATTCCTATCATGCAAAATATGTTAGTTTATATGTGTGTAGTATATGTGGTTGTGTGCACAAAGAGCATAATGACTAATTTTCTTTATTCTCCATATTGTTTTCTAGGTATAGCTGTTGAAGATGGTGTGGTAATGGGTTTACAAAGTGTAAATGGATTTAACATTTGAACCCGTTTTCACCATAGTATCCTTATGCAGTTGATAGTGTAAATTTTGACGACCCAAGCGCAAAGAATCTCTCAGCTTATGACCAATTTCAATAGCAGCTTCTTCATTATTGCCATTGGCAGTCCAAATAGCTAGATTATAAAAAAAATGAAAAACGTATTAAACTTTTGTAAACGTGTTTATCACTTGAATACTTACAAATTTTGTGAGCTTTTTGACGAATATTTACCACGGCACCACAAATTTGATCTGAATGATCGAATGCTTCACCGATCAAACATAAAATCTAATAAATGAGAAAGGTTTTTTTATGCATTACACGATAATCTAAATCCAACTGTAATTCAATACCAACCACATCCAGCCACAAGTTATCCAATTCAGCTTTGGGACTACGATTCAAAGTTATGACCCAGCGACCACCTTGTTTATTGGCTGCATCTTCCCACATAGGCCGGATTCCTTTCTTGAAAAGTGAATAATCGCTACCAATTTTAATATCAGATGGAGGTTTGATGTGGTTGTAGAGACTGTCAAAACAAAAATCAACAAATTAGAAATCCAGCTCAAATTGTCAACATTTAGGGCTTATTTGAATTTCTAAACAACCCTATGTATGTTTTTCAATTTTTGAATTGAATAAAATGTTGAAACACACCTTAAATTGGTAACGATCGATAGAAAATTTTGTAAATAATTTCATAATTAAGGTAAATTAAAAAAAGCCTTTGCAATCTTAAAGTATGATCCCTTTTGTGCAATTATGTTATGAATTAATTTAAAAATTTTCTACCCACTTATTACAGGACTGCAGTACTGAAGGCAATGGAAAACAAGTTAAAAAGTATCAGTAGGTTTTAACAACTGATGTATACTCTCAGCCAATGTTCGATTATTTAAATAAATGTTGACTTCTGTTATAATTATTCAAATTGTTGACCCTCTATGGAGATGGTTTCGAAGGAATGGACCAATAGTGACCATTTTGTATCGGATCTAAATAAATATGATATAAATATTGCGAAGTGCCAGGTTTGGACCAAATCGGATATTCCCTTCGAGAGTTTTCATGCGCACCAGCCAGCCAGATTGACGGATCGACGGACATCGCTAGATCGGCTCCAAATGTTCTGAAACGGAATTGGTCCAAAGATACCTATGGTCTAAACCCGTTACACGTTTTGACCTATTAAATGATATATACCCTCCCTCTCTAGCCATATGGAAAAAAATTCTCTTATGTGTCGGTCTTTTTGCATAAATATAACCTCAAATTTCAAGTTTCGATGGTATGGTGACATTGTCTTATACATTCTTCAGTAAATTTTATTTTTAGTCCATAAATTATCAGTAGATGCGTTTTTTATGCCTCCAATGAGCCATCATGTTAAGTGGGTTTTGCAGTCTTTGCACTATGGGACAATAGTTGCAGGGGAAACTGTCATGTTTAATGAAGTGAAAGCAATTTCTCTTAAATGCTGCATAGTAAGTTCCAGCAGTTCGAAAATGAGCTTTCTTTTTTCATCAAATCGTTTGCTAATTATGTAGTTTTACACATATCTTACCTCCAGAAATCTTCCACAGTATCGAAGCTGGTAATTTCGTTTTGCATGTCTTCCCATGATTTTGAACGATCGTTTTCCAAATACCACAAAGTCCAGGTATTCTGTAGTGGATGTTTGATCAAATGTTCTTGGCGAACTTCCTCTGTTTCTTTATTGTTCTCTTCCTTGGCCTCGGGCCTTCCAGCGGCAGGTGTGGGCTGTGCAGCAGGAGCAGGAGAGTTTTCCTTTGGCGTTGCTGAACTCTGAAAACAAAAAATACAAACAATTTGGAAATTATGTCAATGTCACTTGAACGATCTCAGGAAAAAAATATCAAAGCATGACCACCACCCCAACCCGACACTGCAGGTGTGGTCTGCGATGGAAGATATGCTCAGTAAAGATGATGGATGCGTTTTCTTCTTACTTTGAAAAAATGAGGGTTTGCAAAATTTTTCTTTCTATGGAAGTCGCTTTGGAACATCATGACACAGATATAAAACCAAATATGTCGTCTGGGAGAATAATATTCACTTTGTTAAACTAAATTCAATGCAAATGCTCTTGCTCTGCAGTACAATTCAAGGTGGGGTGGTTGTGTGTATTCGAGTTCCCACCAACGACTATCCAAGAGAACAATGGTGGATAGTTGCTCTTAAATTACAGCAAACAAAATGAAAGAACTTATGAAGAGTGGTGGCTAGCAATAGCTAAACATGAAATGGCAGTACACATCAATACACAGACAGGCAGGCAGTACACTCAAAATATGGTGATAGCGTAAGAGAGCGCACAAGAAATAGCCAACGTAAACAACGTTCGTTCAACTGAGAGAGTGGGAATTTCGGCAAGAGAACTAGGGTGAGGGTGATTATTCATACACACACACAATTATATATATATGGATATGTGTATTTGCTCGTTTTGTGGATGGATTGTTGCAAGTTCTCTTATGGACACGTTGTATGGGTAGGTATCCTTGCTGATGAACGGTGATATGAGATCGATGAAGTCACTCTCCTCGCCTTGTTAACTATTACGACAATTTTTTTAACTTGTCTTCCTTTTGTTCTCGGATTCGTTGCTGGCTTACTTTTTTTTTTTGATGGGCAATAATAACGGATGGACAATCGTTGCAGACTTTGTGGGCAATGGAACACAGGTTAGGCTTTTGTTCGCGTGAATTATTCTTTTGGAAAGACGTAGGATGAACTCAATTTCCTTTATTTTTCGGTTAGGTAGAAGAAATTTTTTGCTGGTAAAATGAAACACGACCGAAGTTTAAGCGAAATTTGTAATAACTAAATATATAATTTTTTCGGCTTTGGCAATTTTTTGTTTTTGTCACAATTTGTTACACAGTTTTCCAAGGTAGACTCGATTCGAAACGACAAGTGTTGTCGTAATGTGTTTTTTTTTTAATAGTCTCTTTTTTTAATGAACGTATTGTTAATGACAAACGTTTGTCTCGTTTCGACGAAAAACAAGAATACTAAGTTATAAAAAATGAACAGAAAATTACAAATCTGTTGATTTGCTTTAAATACAACCCAACATACAGCCGTCACCGTATGGCGATGTGGAAAGTATGATGTGTGTTTCCCAACTGAAACTGTTAGTGAGCACAGATTTGCCAATACAATGAGCAAAGCAAAGAATGTACGCAGCGGCACCAGCCCGTAACAACACAAAGACCAGAGTAGCTGACTAAATCGTCAACAGCAACAAATTCAACACTCTGCGAAAGAATGACAAACATAAAATACTAAAAAATAAACCAAAGAGCGAGGTTCAATCCAACCCAGTGTACATGAAGACCCATTTGACTGTTTTCTTATGGTCGGTCGAACGGTCTGCCATGTTGGTTGGTTGATTGGTTGGCTGAGCAGTGCTGCTCTTTGTTGCTTTGATTCACGACCGTCTCTGATTATGAGTATTCTGTTTTCTTTTGTGTTTTCCAGTTGAGAGCGGCTCGACTAGACTAGAAATGAAAGTAAGTTGCTGTGCCGTTGTTGTATTCCTTCGGTTTACTGTTAGTAAACGTTATTCCAATTTTTGCAATGTTGTAAAAAGATCAGTTGTGTCCAATAAGATGTACCCACTACCCAGTATGTAAAATTTGGTGAAGATCGGTTCAGATATAGCTATAGCGTCCATATATATTATTCATCCGATTTGTTATATTTGTTACCCACATCCGTAATATGCACTCCGTAACAACGATATTCAGGGAAATATACAAATACATCTCATAAATATCTTTGTCAAATTTTATCGAGATCGGTTATGATTTGGATATAGCTCCCATATATATTTTTATGCGATTTTAAATTATTTGTGCACCAAATGGGCAACACAAGTTCGAATTTAAAAGATACAAATGCTTCGGCATAATTAGTCCTTTCAACTTTAAGTTATAATTATAATCATAGCTTGTATGATTGAATTCTCCCATAAAAACTTTTAATTGTTATGTGGAGCTCTACTAAGTTAGGGTATCATAAAGTCGGCCCACCCGACTTTAAGACTTTCATTACTGGTTAAATGAGTAAAATAGCGCGAAACATGAATGATATGCCTGAATTTTCCCTCAAAAATATTATCCAAACTGCTCAATCTTTCAATTTCATGGCTAAACTGGTTAATAGATATAATGCGCGAGCGGCAATTTACATGTCTTCCAATCATTAGTTTTGAAAATGTTTCCTTTTCATTTTTCAAAACAATAAATACATACACAAAATTGGCAGAAGTCGGACACATTTAGAAAAAAAATTGTAATAAGCTGGTAGCTCTACCTTACCTTTTTATTGTACCATGAATAGTATGTTTAAATACTCCGTAAGGAGGATACAAATGTACAACCTAAACTTAAATGGAATACATAATCAGAAACAAATGGATCGTCTGGTACGATTGCAGGTGACAAAAAGTGCATCAAGGCTTAAGACATCAGTTGCAAGGCATCTCACAAATTTTGGGCGTAAGCAAAAAAAAAATATATATATATATATACTTGCCGGCGTTATTATACTCTCATTCAGCCATATGGCTACAGATAGTATATATTCATTGTACATTTTAATCCATATAACATAGACAAATTAAATAACTAAATAAATACACCTTTCTTCTAAAATATAACAACTACTGACATTAGGACCTATACTCACTTCAAAGGGTGAAGAGGTTTCAGTTTTAAAATATGCCTATTTGTGGATAAAATCAAAATGTATGTATGTATGTATTTCTATTTCTTATTCTTATCTAAAGTGTTCAATACTTTACTACTATAAAAAGAAAAGAATGCATGGTACAATAGGGAGGTAGAACAGCTTTGTAAAAACTACTGAAATACAGCCTCGAGGCTGTGCCCGCTTCCTGTCAAATTTCCCAGCAACAAGTTTGCATTTATTCAATATGTTTCCTCATTTTTAAAATCAGTTAAACAACGGGAAAAACGAATGAAATGCATGGATTTTTTTCAATTCAATGGCAAACCTGGCGAAAAGCTTTAAGCAATTTAGGCGTCTTCCAATTATTGATTTTGAAAATAGTATGTTTTTATTTTTCAAAACAATAATAAATACATACATAAAATTGGCAGAAGTCGGGCACATTTAGAAAAAAATTATAATCAGCTCGTACCATGCAAGAATGTACATTTAAGAATGAATATCCTTAAAAAAATTGTACACAAATGTACCTGAGAACATCTTTCGATTGTCGGTTTTATGGAAGTTCTGGTTCTTAGAGCTGTAAGCATAGGTCCAATATTTTCTTTAGTCCCCATGTAATGGGGACACCACCCCACATTTTTGTACCCGACACCACACTGCGGTGCAGGGTATTATGTCTTTGTGCATTTGTTTGTAACAAAGGAAAAAGGACACTAAATAGACACATAGTTCCTTTTGATGATCTACATGGAATCATATTTGGTACCGGATACAGCTTAGAAAAATACCTCTGCCAAATATTATTAAGATCGGTTCATATTTGGATGTAGCTTCTATTCAGGATGAGATGAAAAAACTGCAACAAACTTCAGACTGCTGTCATTTCAAAGCCACTAGTCCGAAAGCTGTTAAAATTATTCCAGTGAGAATTTTCCAGAAAAAAGTTATTTGTGATGGAATTCAAGCGTGATAGTATGATTTCTTTATATTTGGCTGGAAAACCAAAAGTGGCTATCGGTAGAGCACTCCAAAAATTTAAATGTGAATAAATCGTTTGTGTCTCGTACCATCGCTCGTTACCGTGATACTGGTAGCGTAGCCCGACGTCAAGGAAGTGGATGGAAGAAAACAGCAACATCAGCAGAAATGGTTCGAAAAGTAAAGAAGCGACATGATCGAAACCAGCGTCGCAGTGGCCGAAAAATTGCTTCTGAGCTGAACATCTCGCAATATTCCATTCGGCAAATATTGAAAAATGAGCTCGGGGTAAAGCCATTGAAATTCCAAAAATTGCTCCTGAGCTGAACATCTCGCAATATTCCATTCGGCAAATATTGAAAAATGAGCTCGGGTTACAGCCATTGAAATTCCAAAAATGCAAGAACTTACATCGCAACAGAAAGAAAATAGACTCAAAAGAACTAAAGAGTTGCTTGGTTACAAAATGAGGTTCTTCGCTTTATTTCCAGCGCACAATGGCCACCAAAATATCCGGATACATAAAAAACACCAAAGTGTCGATCACATCAAGCAAGCGCTTCGCCGGGAATGACCAAAATACCGCAGAGCAATATTCGGGCAGCGTTGGCCGTTTGAAGGCCATACTTCATGCCAAAGGTGACCAATTCGAAAAAATCTAAACTTATTCTAAAATGTGATGCTATTTCCGACATTTTTTGCCTTCAATTCAATATTTAAAAAAAATGTAAAAATTGTGGCGTTTGACTTTGTTGCAGTTTTTTATCTCACCCTGTGTGTTTCTTCCGATTTTTATATCTACAAGATATTGGATACATCCTAAAAGTACCTTTTTCAAGTTTTGTCAAGATCGATTCAGATTGGGATATATCTCCCATATATATTTGATATTTAAGCATTCTCAAAGTTAAAATATGCACTTCATAGTATATTATATTCGGTGCTTGAGGTCACATGTTAGTTTAGTGGAAATTGATTAAGATACAGCGTTTATTTGCTACACGTGATTCTACTAAATATTCAAAGCGGTGTTGGGTTTAGAACAATCACGTGGAGCAAATCGAATTTTTATCTCTCCTTACTGGCTTCTTAATTCTTCTATAAAAAGAAATCTCACTGGGGACAGTTGAAAGTATAGGTCCACTTTTTGCTATATGAGGGTGCTATAGCAAAAAGTGATCCTATACTTTCAGTTGCACAGTCCGAGATTTCCCATGTTTTAAGTTCTACTATTTACTTAGGGTTAAAAAAGCAACATGCTCAAATCTCGCAAACAACTTTTTTGAAGGAAGAATTCCATAATGAGAACTCAAAAAATGTCAAATTACAACTGAAATTAGGATGTAAGCTAGTCATTATTGACATTTATTAATTAATATCACACTGAAATGTTTGTAGTTTAATCTCGTTGCTATATTGTCGGTGTCGCGCATAAGTGTTCCATCATTTCAGTGTTTAAATTTCCAATTCCTTGCAACTGACGGAAATTGTGTTAAGATTTCTGATTTAAATTATGAAAAATAGGAAATACCTACTAATCAAAACTTTTAATTGTATTTTGTTATATACAGTTACCGAAAGCTACTTGGATTAAACACTTTACTTTGTCAAATTAAGCAAGGACATTTGTCAATTTTATTGTGGATTTTTAGCGAGTTATCGTTTTTCAACAGAATGTTTAAAATGCTCATAGAAATTTGAGAATATATTTTTAAATTGTGAAAAAAATTTTCATATCTAAATATATATTGTTCAGTACATTTTTGCTTGTTATTAGCTTCATTGGGTTTATTCAACGCAAATTAAGTGTTTGATAAATAATCGATGCCATTGCCCTAAAATTTGGGCATATCTGCGAAACAACAAAATATAATAATCCATAATATTCTTCATTGTATTGCCTTCGGTTTGTTTATTGCTTCTTTGTTACTGTGTCTAACTTCGTTTTCGATTATTTGCAGTCATAGTACATACGCTTTGCCTTTTCACTTTGATATGTGTTTTTATATTTATTCTATATGAGATGCACTTTTGTTCTCTTCGTTGTTTCTCTTTCATTGCTTCCCAATTCATTTTTGTTTTGTTTTGCATGACAAGTACAATGCACTTAGTCATCTCTGGAGAGCAAAGCGTAGATGACATATTAACTAATTGAGCGATCGTCAAGTCAAAGTGAAATCGCAGTGAGAAATGTATAAAAATAAATTCCAAACAAACAAAGAGCAATTCTCTTAACTCATTGTAGGTACTTTCTTTTAAAACTTCTACCAAAAAGAATAGTTTTGGAATTTTTATAAAGATTTCAGCCAGCGTACACATTGTAAAACAAAAAATAAGTTTATATTATAGAATGTACGTGTTTGCTCTTCTTCTGAAATGCA